CACACACACAGACACACACACATACACACACATACACATACACACACACAGACACACACAGACACACACACACACACACACACACACGCACACGCACACACACGCGTGGCCACATGCATGCACATACAGCACATACACATGGAAAAAGATAAAAAAAAGACACAGAGAAGGGAAGTTTTCAGAGGCAAGTGAATCTACAGTGTTTACTAGAAATTCTTGCAAAATACAACCCAAAAATCCCAGGTTCATGTGGTGATATTTTGGTTGTGCTTTTAACAAATAAAGCTTGCCTAAAGATCAAAGTCTGGCACCAGCCACACTAGTTAGCTATAGAGGCCAGGCTGTGGTATCGCACATCTTTAATCCCAATGCTCGGGAGGCATAAGCAGGCAGATCTATGTGAGTTCAAAGTCACTCTGGGCTACACAATATTGAATCAATCTAAAAGAGAAACAGCTTACACCTTTGATCCCAGCACTAGGGAGGTGGAGACAGGGGTGATTTGGCTGGTCGGAGAGAGGAGCTCACTGCATTCATAGAGACAACATTCAGTCTGAGGGTTCGGAGGGACAGGATTGCCCCTTTGGTCTGAGCCTTGGTAGAGGTAAGAAGTCTCTCTAGTGGCTGGCTCCTTTGCTTTTCTGATCTTCAGCTTTAACTCCAATATCTGTCTCTGGGTTTTTATTATTCATGCTACATGTATTTCCTACACTAAACTAGAAATGCAAACCGAAGCCTGATGGACAGTATGGAATCTGAGTGTTTGGCAGATGGAGAGAGGACTCACCATCACTCATAAAACACCACAAAGAACTGTAGCTGCATGTGAGCAATTTTAAATGCTGCAGCAGTAGATGCAGAAATTCCCCGAGTGCTATGGAGGTGGTGCTTCAGGGCACCTGGACTGCTTCCTGGGAAGCATTCTGAACACAAGGGGTTCAGCAAAGAGCCACCACTCACTGCAGAACTACTATGCGCTGGAAACTAGAGTTGTGAAGGCAACAAAAAGAAATGTTTTCTGGCGGGGCGTTGGTGGCCCACACCTTTAATCCCAGCACTCGGGAGGCAGAGGCAGGCAGATCTCTGAGTTTGAGGCCAGCCTAGTCTACAGATCGAGCTCCAGGACAGCCGAAGATGCACGGAGAAACCCCAACTCGGAAAAACAAAATGACAAGAAAAGAACATTATAGTCTAGAAGGAGAACAGACTGAATTAGTTAACTTCAGAATAATGTTCTAAACACCAGAGTAACAGCATCGTCAGGCTGTCCTGACTGGGGTCAGATGTGGCAGGGTTTACATAGTTGGAAGGCTCACACCCTTTTCCCTTTCTGTGCTAGGGTCCCGCCCCAGGACCCTGCATATCCTAAGCAGGACCTGTGACACTGACTGACACCCCTAGCTCTTGCTATTCCAGACAAGGTCTTGCTTAGGCTGGAATCTGCAATTCCCCTGCCTCTGCATTCCAAGTGCTGGGATTATAGTCATGTGCCACCATATCCAGGGTTTAGTCAGCATTTCTAACAGCTTAATGATTTAGCAGACATCATTATATTTACATTCTGATGCTTGCAACTGTTTACAGGGTGATGAGCAGTGATTAACAGAGCCAGCACACACCCCAGAGCAAGTGCCTTGAGCTCATCTGGCCACAATTGGGGCAATTTTGTTCCTTGAGCTGATAAAGACCCCAAACCTCCTTTAGAATGCTCAGACTTGCTAAATTAAAAGAACACTCTCCAAACAAATAACTTGAAAAGCAAAAAAGGACTGCAATAAGGTCACAGCATTGTCTTACATTCACTAATAGTCTGGTCTGGTTCGGTATGCAAAAGCCAGAATGTTCTTCAATTTGACTGAACCAGAAGGGGTGGGGAATATGGAGCACTCTCAGGGAAAGCAAGTCCTTCCCAGACAGCCTTCCCCAGCCCTGCCACTTACCTACAAAGCTCTGTTTTTTACTTTCCCACAGAGGTGCTGCACGGACTCCGTTGGCTACTAAGGCAAAGAAGGCCTTTTTAACCTGAAGAGAAACCAGAAACAAAACATCGTTTTTAAAGTCCACATTTCAGGAGGAAAATACTCAACTATGGTTTCAACCAAATCTTACCAGTAATTATCGATGTAAGTCTGATAGGCTACAGATACCATTTGTTAGCAATTTTTTTTTGTAGCCTATTTAAAGGTATTTAGGTGTGTCTAACCTTTTGACATTGTGACACGGCACTGTCATCTTCACAAAGCTCACATCTAGAGCAGTGCAATCAAATTACAAGAACAAAACAAAACAAATCACAAAGCCCTTATGTCTTTCTTGTGTAGGTGTGCACGAGTGTGGGCACACGTGTGGAGGTCAGAAGACAACTTTGTCCATGCCGGGCCTTGTCTTCCACCTTGGTTTGGAACAGGCCATCTTCTTTGCTGCTGGCTGCTGCATACACCAGGCTAGCTGACTGACAGGTTTCCACAGCTCTTCCTGTCTCTGCCTCCCATCCCACTGTAGGAGCAACATACACTACCAAGGTCAGCTGTTTACATGGGTCCCGGGGATTTGAACTCAGATCCTCACAGTTGTGGCAAATGGTTTGAGTACTGAGCCATCTCCCTAGTCCTCATAAGACTTTAAGTAAGTTTACAATTTTGTGTTCAGCTGCATTCAGAGCAATATACTCTGGGTTGCACGAGGCCCTCGGGCTGCAGATTGGCCACAACTGGTAGAGGGTAGTGGGGATTAGTTTTTTAAACTGGCAATTAACTCCAATTTTTTGTCTTTAACTAAATATTCTTGTATACACAGGTTTTCTATAATTAAAATCATATAACACAATTAAATATCAGCTTAATTTCTTCCATGTGTGATTGATAATTCATCTGAAACAGTTATACTTGAAAGGTTCAGGCAGATACCTAGGCAACTCAAAGGGCCCTGTGTTGTGTGGCCACGTCATGGCCACATCACTCCTTACAGGGGTGCGTAGGGACTCTGCACATGTTCGAGATCGCCCCCCCCCACCTTTTTTTTTTCTTTGAGACAGGGTTTCTTTGTGTAGCTTTGGAGGCTGTCCTGGCACTCGCTCTGGAGACCAGGCTGGCCTCGAACTCACAGAGATCCACCTGCCTCTGCCTCCTGAGTGCTGGGATTAAAGGCGTGCGCCACCATGCCCCGCAACAAGATCCCCCTTTTAAGCCTGCGCCCACATTGCTCCTCTCTCTCTGTTTCCGGTGGTTGACCACTAACTCTCTTCTCTTCACTCTTTCTTAACTCCTCCCTGCTCTCTTTCTCTTCCGAGTCTCACTCCCGCTCTCCCTCCCCCACCTATAATAAACTATGGTTAATGTATCTCACGTTCTCACGTCTCATCTTGCACCTTTTAATATTTTTAAACTTAAACAAAATAATAACAATACTGAATTATTTGAAATAAATGGTCACTATATGAAAAATCACAACACAGGCAAACAGCTATAGCTGCACTTTACAGCACCAGAGGCAAACATGGGCTGTGACAGCGTAGGTGTTGTTTGGTGTGTTAACACACAGCACTTTGTTCTCTCTAACACACACCCTTAGGGATACTATAAGGTGTCACAGTTGATTTATTAAGAGCCAAAAGCTCAGGGCTGGAAACAATCCTCTAAACAGCAAATGCAAACAAGGAAAACATTCTGTGATCATTAATAATTCAAGGAATGCAAATAAAACATTAAAACATTATTCAGAGCTGCTGCTGCACCGTGGACCCTGGAGTAGTTCCCAAACACCTATGTGGAAGGAAGTTAGGCCACTGGAGTGTGGCCCTGAAGAGGCTAGGGGACCCTATGCCTCTTCTTTCTTGAGATAAGGTCTCCCTGTGCAGCCTAAGCTGGTCTGGAACTTGTGGTCCATCTGCCTCAGGCCCTTCTGGGTTTTAGGATTCCAGGAAGTTCACCACTCCTGGCCCTTCCCCTCCTATCCTGTCTCTTTGCTTCTCACCACCATGGGATGAACAGCGCCATGCTGCCATTGTCCCAACCTAATCAGGAAGAGTGACAGTGGGTGGCAACCTACAGAACTGCCATAACCAAGCTCTTTCCTTTGAAGTTGTTTATCTGGGGTATTGTCTCAGTTCAACAAACTCATGCTTTTAAGTCTCACTGAAGGGACCAGACCCTCACTCAGCCCCTGCTTCAGCAGCCATGACAGGCTACAGAAGAGACACAAGGAAATTCCAGATCCTCTGGCCTCCTGGAGCCTAGGGCCAAAACCGAACACAAAAAAACTTCAGGGGAGACCAAAACCTCCCCTGTAGTCTCCAGGATACAGTTCTGAAAACTATTGGTATCTATGAACAACAGGCCACCTGCAAGTAACACGACAAATCCATAGAAACCACAGAATGTTCCCTCTCAGCACTGACCAATGAGCTGGTATTTCATGCCAAAATATGACTTTGGGAAATTCTCCTAATTGTTCCCAAATGTCAACCAATCAGAAACCAATCCGTACCTACTGATATAATCCTGTGACTTTGTCTTTAAAACCTAGCAGTAGACAGGGAACTTCACTCCCTCTGGGGGCTGCTGCGTCAGCTAGCTAGACAGGGTCCCTTGTCATGGTTGGATGAACAATAAAACCTTGCTTTTACAGTTCAGTGGGTCTGTCTCCCTGGTGGTTTCTGGGGATCTTCTCGACTTGGGCACAACACTCACCTAATATGAAAATTATTTTAATTTTTTTAACTACATTCATTTATTGTGTGTATGGGGACAGTTCATGCCACAGTGCACATGTGGAGGTCACAGGACAACCGTGGCACTCAGGACTCTCTTACCTCGTGGGCCCTGAGGACTGAACTCCGGTTACTTGGCATGGTGGCAAGCGCCTTTCCGGTGAGCACCTTGCTGGCCCACCAGCACTATTTTAAGTAACGGGTTTGTGCTGTATAGTTTTATGTCAACTTGACACAGCTAAAAAAACAAACAAACAAACAAAAAACACCTCAGAGGAAAAAAACCTAAGTAAGAAAATGCCTCCATAAGAACAGGCTGTAGACAAGCCTGTAGGGAATTTTCTTAATTAGTGATGGATGGGGCGGGGCCAGCCCATTGTGGGTGGAGAGGTCCATCCCTATGCTGGTCTTCCTGGGTTCTACAGGACAGCAAGCAGAGCAAGCCAGTAAGCAGCACTCCTACAAGGTCTCTCATCAGCTCCTCTTTCCAGGCTCTCCTGCCCCGTGTGAGCTTTCAATGATGAACTGTTCCATCACAGCAATAGTAAAACGAACTAATACAGTGTTTAAAGTACAGCTTACATAGACAATCACAAAACCACTCCTACTATTTGTACTATAGCTTGTTTCTATTGAAGTATTTTTGGGTGTGGGATTCTTTGAATCAAAGATGTTCAATGTGATATTATGTTTGACATTAAAAACGGGAAAAACATTCACCCAGCAGAAGAAAACTACGGAAGTGGGAGCTTAATTGTTTTTTTTTTTTTAAATTATGTATGTAGTGGTTTGCCTGCATTATATATGTGCACTGCATGTGTGCAGGTCAGAAGGGTGCTGGCTGCAGGTGGTTGTGAGCTGCCATGTGGGTACTGGGAACTGAACCTGGGTCCTCTGCAACAGCAGCAAGTGCACTGAGCCGCTGAGCCAGATCTGCGGGGTTTTATATCAATCTTCACATATTTTGACTACTCAAAAGCATGAAGCAATTCTTGCTTTCCCATGAAGACTTCTCTGATCAATCAGCCTAAAACCCCTGCTCCTAAGTGTCGTTCTTTTGTAAAAGTTTAAAAATTAGAAAATTTATTGAGAGATGGGGCCGACGGCCGCATGATGGAACAGGAACCAGAGGGAGTACTCTAAACATAGGGTTTATTACAGGTGGGATAAGCGACAGGAAGGGACAAGAACAGAGCAGAGGAGAGAGGAAAGGGGGGCGGTGTGTGCTCGATCAAAAAAGGGGGAGCTCTCGCATGGGCAGTCCTCATGCAGGTATGTACTTTGTAACAGTGACCCCCTGTCAGGGGGCGTGGTCAGCCTGGTGGTTTAGACCCAACAATCTCACCTCTTATTATTATTAAAAAAGGTGGGGAGTTGGATGTGGCCACTTAGGGGATAAGGGCATCGAGTTCTCACGTCTGCTTCCTGGTGACCTGGGGGGGGGGCGTTGACCATCTTTGGGGGACCTGAGGAAGCTGGGATGCTGCCATGTCCTGGGGTAGCTGGTTGTTTCGTTGCAGTCCAGGCTGTATGGGACTCTCTGGCGCCTCTTAGACCTCTTTGGATGGGTCCAATTCGGCTCCCTGGAACAGCTGGCTGCATGGACAGCCACCCCCAAGGTCCTCCATAGTTGTTGTGGGCAAGGGCTTTAAGGGCACCTGCCTCCTGCTGATAGCTCGGGACCTGTGGATCAGGGAACCCTAGGAAGGCTTGTCTGCCGTTGACCCAAGCAACGTGGAGAAAGTCTATTCCATTGTCCTCTTGTCCACGGTCTGAAGAGTCCTTTGCAGCAGCTGAGGTAAAGGCAGGGTTGCTCAGTGGCCAGCGTTAACGCTCTTGTGGGTGGAGTTTCTTCAGTGCCCACCAGTGTTCTTGGAGGAATGGGGTGGGGCCAGCAGCTGGCCTGTCTCTCTGTTATAAAAAGCTTTTTAATAAAACATTTTAAATGTCATGTCCTCTAGATCTCTGAGCATTTGAGGGCTGTCTGTCTGTTTAGTATCTCTCAGCAGATAAAATTTGTCTTTAGTTAGAGGAAAATCCCCCTTTTGTAATAGAAGCTTTGCCTTTATAAACAGCTTGCAGATAAGAGTGAAAAGGAGAACTTAAAAGTCCCAGTGACAGCAAAGCAGGTCCCTGTAAATAGAACAGGGGCCCCTGGAAAGGCACAGTATTCCATAAACGAGCCATGCGCAACTGGGCCAGTGAAAGAAGAAATCAGAGACAAGAATAAAAAGCAAAAGTAAATTGTATCTGGCAGCTGACGCACAACTGGCCAGACTGGGTGGGTGTGTCTACAGTTAGGTCACGAGGTCGA